GTGAAGGGAGGGCTAGGAATGGGGAAAAAATAAGAACCAAGATGCATTATACAAAGGTACAATTCCCAGTGAGAAATGTAATTGTGTGGTATACCTACAATGTACCAATAAAAGAATTTAATTAAAAAAAAAGAAAAGACCTTTCATAAATTCCCTCGTCTGAACAATGATTTTCAGGTTCCTTAGCATGGCACATAAAGCACTTCACAAATCAATCCCAAACTCCAGGACTGTCTTGATCTCTCGCTCTACATATTTTGTTTGGGTGCAGGGAGTTCTGGCTGAGCATCTGTGTTTTCTCATGCCTTTGCTTTGGAAGCTTTTGTCTCCTTCCCTTGCTATCAACCCCTCACTTTCAGGGTTCAGCTCAATACCACCTTCTCCATAGACCCAACCTTGAATCATTCAGCCACAATTCATCTTTTTTGTTACTGTTCCTTACAACTCAAGCACTTCTCATATTCTATGAGCAATCATCTGTTAGTATTACTTTATCCCTTACCCAGACCTACCACTACATGCAATACCCACCAACATTCCTTGCATATAGTAAGGACACAAGAAATTTCTGTAAAACTGAAACAAACTTGCATTTGATTTTCAAACAAACAAGGCAGTGCATCTAATTGTAATAAAAATGGACACATCACACCTCCGCAAGGTAATTCACTGCCCTTTGCCAGGTTCCTGCAGTTCCTCCCCACAGAAATACAGTTGCTATGGCAGTGAAAGGAAGAGGAAACTTTTCTCAGGCCCTGTAAAAATCTATTATGAATTGAGATATGTTGAAGAGTAATCAGTGTGACACCAATGATCAGGGCTCAACTCATCCATTATGCCAAAGTCACAATTGACCTGGGTGGTCAAGGGTTCACCACTATGGGTGAGGTTGCCCATCTCAATCCCAGATATATGGAAATGCACAGTTCAGTGAACCCTAAAACTGCCCAAGATGGTCTGGAATTTCAAGCAAGAGGGTTATAGTTGCTTTTCTTGGAGAATGCCATAGATCCATATATGGACACTTAACAAAGACAAGAGGGGTGCATTATACCCTTCTCAGGAACAGAACCGCCCACATCAAAATCCCCTGGCCACTGAATCTACCAAACTCTGCCTCCTCCTGGACATGCTGATTGTAGATTATCCTCACGGCATCTAGGTCTTTGTTGAACATTCTGATGAGGGCAAGGTATTTATCTGATGTATCTTGTGTTACCAATGGTCTTTCAAGGAGGTTTCCTGCTATGTCTAGCAGCTGTAGAGAAAACAAAGAAAAAAGTCACAAATGAAATCTTTCCAAATCCTGTCTCCTGTTTTTTCTTTCCTATGGCCACCAATGCAGGGGGTGGGGAGGCAAAACTGTTCTTGCAGAAGTAGAGCAATAATTATTAGCATGTGGATATTTGTAATCTTTCCTGCTCTCCTTTGCTTCCAAAGAAAAAAGGACTCCTGTTTGCTGGATTACTGACCAGCCTCTCTTCTCCTGTAAGAATCTGAATAAAAGGGAAACTAAAGATGGCAGAAAGGTTAAATTCAGTTATGTAGTAAAGATCTGAAACGGAAGGATGGTGGTGATAGGAAAGAAAAGAAAGAAGCTAAGTGGGCTGAGTATTGGGTAGAATTTGGAGGGCTGAAATTTGAGAGTGGAAGCAATAAAACTGTCCCAGGGAGGGGAACAGTTGCCAGGAGAATGGCAGTGATTATGAGGATAATCCGCAAATGCACACCTGTGCATTAAAGCTGCCCTAACCTTGGGGTGCTTCCCAGGGCAGCAGAAATAAGCTGTGGAATGCTTTTAATTAACTTTTCATTCTGGCCTTGTTTCTCTGATTGTGATGCTGCCCTGGGACTAGACCATATAGGACCTCAGTTATACTTAAGATCTATCGAAACACTACTTCTAAATTTGTCTTCCTCCATAACATTCTGTGTCTACTAAATGCTTGAAGTCAGAGATTAACAAGGGACAAAGTAGCCAAACCTAACCTACAAACTCAGCCACTTCTAAAAAAGAGTTATTTTTAAAAAAGTAAACGAAGAGGAATACATGATGTAGAACTTGTGTCCACAGTTTATAATATTTACTCCCTGGCTCTGCAGAAACACTTGCTAGTCCTTGCTTTAAGTCAACAAGTACAAGAGATACAGTGTCAAGATTACTTCCACATATTCTGAAACTGGACGCTGAGTAGATTCCTTTTGTCTAACACTTCTTGCTCAATGTTATCACCTTATTTCATGTTGGGCCATTCCTATCACTACTTTTCTTAAATGTTTTTCAAAGCCTGGGGTAGGGGCAGAGGGAAAATGCCAGGAGGTGTTTGGCATGGGCTCAGAATCTGAGATGGTTTCAGAAGTCCTGTGTCTCTAAGCCATGTCATGGCAAAGGACCAAGTATAGAAAAGAGTCAATATGGGGGAAGGAGGGATCCTAGATCAGATAATTGAAGGCGCTAATATATTTTTCCTTCCACAGAAATCACCAGATTCCTAGTGGAAAGTATTTCCTCCACAATGGAAGCATAAAAGATTATGTCTCCACTGAGTCCCATGGCTCAAATCCTGTTGAGAAAGTGCAGACCAGTGGGCTAAAGATCCCTGTGTCCAGCCTGCACTCTGATTCGTAGACTTTGACATGGACATAGCCCGGCTGGATATGCCCTGCAAGACATACTTGGTGGTGGAATGATCTTACAGCAGTAATGGGGTATCTAGATTTCTGTAACCCCTCTGGCCAACCTGTAGTCCTTGAACCCGAGAAAGCACTTATTTGTATGAACTTACATTCATTGCAACTTCTGCTTTCATTGAAGGAAGAAGAAATGATTTTAGTTTTTTGTTGGTAATTTGACTAAAGGAGGAAAACAAAGCAGGTAGAAGGGACTAGATGGTTGTGATTTTTCTACCAGTTCCTGTAAGTTTTTGAGGAGTCAGGAACAGAAAAGAGAATTTGCCTTCATGAGAAATCTTTCAGACCCTGGAAACAAAGGATGCTCCTTCAGAGACCAGGCACCAAGTTGGAATGGGCCCTCTCTTCTGCCCACAGCCCTACTCCACCATAAAAATTTCAAGGGCTAAGAGTTTTAGAACCCAGGGAGACATACTCTTGGCATAAATGTGGATGTTTCATGGTGGGAGCAATCCAAAGAGCTTCAAACACCTTCCTGGACAGATGAAATGTAAATAAGAAACTGTGACTCAGAAGAGACACATGATTTCAAAGATGGAGCAACTTGTGAACAGATGGGAGGCACCTGCTGAAGACTTCTGGAAATCCAGGTGCAGAGGAATTCATAAGATGAGTGGGCTGGACATTCACAATGCAGGAGTAGAGTTGCAGCTTCTGAACCTCTCTGGTAGAGCCCCAATTAGCCATGATAGTTAATGGTTTATAGAATCATTTTACAGACTCATGTAAGCCCTTTTCTTGGAATTAGTTGAAATGCTTGAAAAGGGAATATAAGAAGTCTTATTAGGTAGGCTATGGAACAGGAGGTGTTTATTAAAGATTACACACACACACACACACACACACACACACTCAATGGCTAATGAAACCAGGCATATTTGGGTTACTTAATATTCTGAAATAGCATAGATTGAGCCATCTGGGGTTTAAGCCTTTCTATAATGCCCCACAAGTCACTCAGTATCTGTTTGGATATATTTAATGGATGGAAACTTAACTTCTTATCAAGGAAGGTCATACATCTTAAGCAGCTTTGACAGAAATCCCTTTTCTCTGTTGAACCAACATTTGCCATTTGCCTTCTTATAACTTCCTCCTGACTATAATCATTGAGGATTTTTAGAATAAACCACTTCATACTTTACAGAAGATTGCAGAAGACATGCTTCGCCAAACCTTCATGTCTTAAGACTCTGCTTTCTCAGTTATGCAGCTGTTTATGTCCTCATTTGTGTCCTACCTTCCCTGCCATGCTTTTTGTGTCACCTGATCCAAGCAAGACAGGGTAAGGGCACAAGTCTTGCTCTACTTACTGATGCCTGAATCCTGAAACCCACTACCTAGTGTGATAATTGTTATCTTGTCACTGTGACAAAGTATCTGATAAAATAAATTTAAAAGGAGGAAAGATTTATTCTGGGTCATGATTTTAGAGGCTTCCATCCGTGGTGGTTGCCTGGTTTCATTTCTTGGGCCTGTGATGATGCAGAACACTATGGCAGGAAGTACACAGTAAAGCAACACTGCTCACATCATGGCAGCCAGAAAGCAAAGAGAAAAGAAGAAAGGCAGAGGATCCAACAGCCCCCTCTAGAACATGCCCCAGTGTTCACTTCATTGCATTAGGCTCCACTTCTTAAAGGTTCCACCAGCTCCCAATAGCAACATCAGCTGGGGCTCAAACCTCCAATATATGAGGTGGGGGATGTCACTTAAGATCCAAAGCATGACTCATGGTAATTGGTTTGCTCCAGCTTGAATCAATCTAGCAGCAATGTTTAAACAGCTATGGGGGGGGGGTGTAGCTCAGTGGCACAGTGCCTTCCTGGCAAGCATAAAGTCCTGAGTTTGATTTCCAGTCCAACAAAATAAAAAACAACAACAAGAACAACAACAAAAATAAACAGCTATGGTACTGCAGAGCCATAGTTTCAGGATATAGACCATTCTCACTTTCAAAGATCAACTTATTGAGAAAGATTTAGCACCCAAAGAGAGCACTGCAGGAGAAACTCTTTAAAAGAATTTGTACATTGTCATGCTTTCAGAAAAGTGCAAGTAATCAGTCTGAGAAGCCCAGCTCTGCACACTTCCTTGCCCTTAATATTTTGTTCCCCTCCACCAAATAAAGAAGAATAATATTTGCAGGAATGAAGTATTCAGAATGTATCCCTACCATCCTCTGACAAGAGCTGGGGAAGTACTCAGCACAGGTGGCTCCTGCCCTACTTGTACAAACCTTAAAGGCATGCTCCAAGTCAGGTGTATCATCAAAAGCTTGAATAAAGATAGTCCCCAATCTTCGGTCAAGATCTTCTACTTTCTGGTTAAATCCAGAGAAGTCATTTACAAATTCCTGAGGAGACACCACATTATATCTGAGGAAAACATGACTTTCTGAAGGCCAATCCCAGGATAGTCTTTACTACCAACTTTTATACTTGAATCAGTCATACCAAAGATTTATTTTAATTCCCTAAAATTCAGCATGGTATGACTTAGTGTTCATCTATGTGGAAAGTGACCTTGTTTAGGCAGCATTTTAACCTAAATACTCCAGGCAAAATGAGTCAAATGTGAGGTTGGTTTCCTTTCACCTCCCTTTCTGTGGCCCTCTCTTCTACTTCCTGAAGCCCCTTTAGTTTCACCGCAGGGTCAGCTCATATGACCCCACAAGCAACAGCCCACCAATGGGGCTATTCCAACATTACCTACTGTGCTTCCTCCCCCAAGTCAAAACCCCATTTTTCTCAGTGAAACTGAACTCATCTAGTCATTAGAAGGAAAATTAGCTAAGTAAATGTGTGTTATTTGTTCTTGGTACACCTTAATTGGTTAATGGACAGGAACTAGCCATTGTCCCTATGGCTGCTAAATTCAGCAAATAAAAACACCTAGTTAAGTTTCAATTTCAGATAAACAATGAATTGTGTTATTACAAGTATGTCCCAAATATTGTATTTTATCTTGCCACCCTGAGTGTGTTTCTTTTCTTAGAGTACAGCAAATTTTAAGGAAATTTTAACTCAAATCTCTGATTTGTGCAATTATTGTTTATAATTACTATTTTACAATAGCAATGCATATTTTATTTTTAAAAAATGGAAAAACATTGTACAGTTCTACCTCCAAACCCAACCACATTGACTTTGTGATATGTTTTCTTACACCCCACTCATATTGTGTATGGGATTTTGTTTTATTCTATTATGTGGTTGTAAACACATGGTATATGTCCTGCTTGGTAATCCACCTTTTCTTTTCTACTTTTGACTCATGGAATTTTTGGAAAGTGGTACCTCCCGATTCTGGAGATTCTCCTGGATATTTGAAGATGTTCTGAGAAGATTCCTGCCCTAATTTCTTTCTCTGTTTTTTTTTTCCTGTTCGCTTAAAATTTCTTCTCCATGAATTCTGTCTTTTCTTTTAGAGAATTCTATTCCCTAATTCCATGCTGGCCTTTGTTTTATTTTTTTCCTGTGCTTATTTTCCCCACAGATTTTGGCTCTTGAAGGCTACATATGAGATGCGGGCTTTTTATTCCAATCCTGGAAAATGTATCTTCAGTTTGAGGAGGTATAACTTACCCTCTCTGACCACTAATACACTCCTGTCTACGTGTGCCTGGCCTTCACTTAGTAACCTCTGCTCAAAGTTTAAAACTTTCTTTTTCAATTTTATTGAAATATATTTGGCAAATAAAAATTATGTATGTCTGAGGTATAGAACTTGATGTTTTGATAAATGTGTACATTGTGAAATAATCATAATAATCATGCTGATTAACCCATCTATCCATCACCTCACTTGGGTACCATTTTCTCCTTTGAGTGTATGTGTTTGGGAGAGAGTAGTACCCTTGAGGTCTACGCTCTTAACAAATTTCAAATATCCATTACAATATTGTTAGGTGTCATCACCATGTTGCACATTAGATTTCCAGGGCTTCATCTTGCATAACTGAAATTTTATTATGCAAAGTTTGACCCACACCTCACAATTTCCCTTTCCCTCTGGCCCTTGACTACCTCCATTACCTTCTGATTTGACTATTATAGAGTCCATATATAAGTGAAACCATGTAGTATTTGTCTTTTTATGACTGGCTTATTTCACTTAGCTTAAATTTTTGAAGCCACATGGTGGTCCCAGCTTCCTTTGTCATCTCATGCCCATCTCAGCATCTCTGATCCCAGGTATTCTTATCCGGGGCAGGTAGTGGTTGGGAAAAAACATTTTCTCACTTTTTCTTAACATAAAGAATAAGTAGAATCTTTCTAATGACACAGGAATAATAAAAGATTTTCCCCGACACAAATAATAACTGATAAAAAACCCACTGGGACCATGGAGCCAAAGGAAATGCATAGGAATACACAAGTAAATCTCTAGACTTACAGGCTACAGGCATCTGAAAAAAGGACAAAGCTCCTGATTTAGCTCTTGCAGGCCCTACCCTGCTGTGGGAGTCCAAGAAGTCGTAGGAGCACTCAGAGAAGACCTTGTACATCTCTTGGAATTCCTCGTACATTTGGTGCACCAGCTGACTCAGGGTGTTCCCCCTGATGCCACTAAACTCAAGCTTTCCCAGTTTGTGGAAATCCAAGGCTGTCTTCAGAAGATCCTATGGGGATAATTCATAAGAGTTAAAATGATAATAAGCATCATCACAACAACCATGGATGGGAAGAGCTAGAAATCATATGAGGGTGGTGGTTGCTTAGGAAAATGTGACGCCTGATTAGTTTTGTAACCTTATTATTAGATTGTATTGGTAAAAATAACTCTTGTTTAAACTCAATAACAAAGCAAAGAGAAAATGCAGATAAATAAGATTCACAGATACCAAGAAAAACAAATGAATAAACAAATAATGAGAGGTATGCTTCAGCTTCTCTTAGTATTCTAACATAAAGTATAAAATGTTATAATAAAATCATGTGATTGGTGGCTTTGCTACTGACTTTTACTTAAACAGTCAATTTCTAATGGGCCATGTTATTTAGTTCTAGAGTGATAGTTGTTTTAGGAGAATTGGGTAGGAAAGCAGACCCTTGAAAGTTTGAAGGACAAATCCAGAAGGTGACACCAGCCTTCTTAGCAACTTCATCTGCCAAGGACAAAAGTCTGCTGAGAGTCTCTGCCTAGTATGCCATGTTGCATGCTGGGCAACAGAGGGCAGTTACTTACCGTCTCTGTGTCTGTGTTTCATTATTTGTAATAAACTTCATGGTATGGTTGTGGGAGCTAAGCAAACTAATGCAGGGTTTAGGCCAGTGCCAGGCATACAGTATGTGTCACTGTCACTGTTTTTGATGGGGCAGTGCCCCAGCTGTGCTCAGGTTTAAATTACAGGTGGATGACACAGCCTTGAAGCCTTGGGGAGGAGTCTCTCTCACATCTCTGGAAGCCACTTCACCTACGATGGCACAGTAGCCTCCTGAGCATGTCTAAAAGGACAGGTTGAATTTATGCCTTGTGAGTACCTCTCTAAAATCACAAAACCTCCAAGCCAAGATGTGCTTCCTATCAGGTATTTCAGTCTAGGTACAGAAAAGACAAAGGTGAAAGTTACCTTTGTGTCACTTTGGCAAACATTTTGTGTGGATCCCTAGAAGGGAGTCCTCTACCCTGAAGAGGTTGGAAGGGCTAGAAGAAGGTACAATATAACACTCAGTCTTGATATCACTTTGAGAAGCTGCCAGTGGTCACTGCCTGCTTGGCCCATCAGACTGCCACAAAGCTGTCCATTTCTTTCGTTTCCCCAGAACATAAAGTCCAATAGTGGTGACAAAGACATTAGAGTGGGGAAAAGTGGCTGACTTTTTGCTTTCCCCCCAACTTTGGACTTGAGTGCCATACAAATGTGGGCAGCCATCAAACAGCCCCCATTCTGCTCAGCTATGTTGGGGACCAGTCAGCAGTGGAGGCAAGGGGTGAGGAAAGAAGATGCCTGTCAAGAAGATAATCACCAGAACCAGGGCTCTTGTTACCCTCGGTAGGGGATGAGGCAGTTGCTGTTTAAAAATGCTAGAAGAAAACAGAGAAATTGTTCTGGATATTGTTACGGGGAACAGTTTTTTTGTAGAAGAACTTACCTCCAAACCACAGGAAACAAAAGCAAAACTAGACAAATGAGATAATATCAAAGTAAGAAGCTTCTGCTCAGCAAAGGAAACAATAGGCTGAAGAGGCAAACTATGTTAAGTCAGAAATTACTGTATTTGAACACTACTCATCTGACAAAGGGTTGCTATCAAAATATATAAGGAACTTAAAAAGTCAATAAGAAAAAGCAAATTAATCCAATTAAAAATTGGGAAAAGAACACAAATGGATACTTCTTGAAAGAAGAAATTCAAGTGGCCAATAAATTTATGAAGAAACGTCCGTCTTTATTTGCCATCAGGGAAATCCAAGTCAAAACCACAGTGAGATGTCATTTCACCCATTAGAATGATTACCATCAGACAGTCAAAAAATAACAAATGTTGGTGAAGATGTGGAGAAAAGGAACTCTCATACACTACTGGTGGAAACACAAGTACAGCTACTGTGGAGAACAGAATGGGAATCTCCCAAGAAATGAAAAACAGATCTCTTCTATGATGTAGCTATCTCATTTCTGGATATTGATCCAAAGGAAATAATATGAGTACATCAAAGAGACACCTGCATGCTCATGTTTGTTGCTGCACTATTCAGTGTAGCTAAGGTATGGAACTAACATAGATACCCATCAATGGAAGAATGGATAAAGAAAATATGACATAAATAAAGATATCCTGTCGTTTGTAACAAAATAGGTTGAACAAGAGGACATTATGTTGAGTGAAATAATTCAGATGCAGGAAAACAAATACAACATGTTGTCTTTCCTATATGAATGTTAAAAAAGTTGATCAGAATGCATAGTAGTGATACTCAGAAGCTGAGAAGTTGGGAATTTAGATAATGGGTACCCAAACACAATCAGAAAGGAGTAATATGTTCTACAGTTCCGTAGCACAGTGAGGTAAATCTAGCTCATAATAATCTATTACATAGTTTACGAACAACTAGAAAAGAAGAACACAAAGGCTCCAAATACAAGTGATGATAAGGACATGGAAACATTAATTATACTAATTAGATTGGTACACATTGTATAATGTACTGAACTGTTGCACTGTAGCCCATAAATATATACAATTATTGCCTTTTAATCAAAAAATTTAAAAATGTTTAAGAAGGAAATGTTAACTACTCTGTATTTGATTGTTACATACGGTATACATTATCGAATTATTGCACTGTTCCTCATAAATTTGTACAACTAAAATAACACTAATAAAATGCTTGCAAAAATATATGTTCAACTTTATATACTGGAAAGAAAACAGAAATGAATTTTACTTAAATGAAATTGACTTCCACAGTAATTCAAATCTCTCACGAAGTGCTTAGTTGTAATCAGTTTTACAGGAGAAAAATATTTGTGCTGTGGAAGGTATGTTGGTACTCATTCTTCACAATTGTATGGATGTCAATTTCAATTTTTAGGTGATACATTCTTACCATTTTAAAAGACTGATTCATTCTGACATAATTTCAGAAAATGGGATTATAACTTAGTTGTGCTATTTTATTTCTCGAGACTATTTAAAGCATGGTCTTGGGTGGTATCTGAAAGGTATTTCGTCTTCAATCTAACAGGAAAGTCATAGATATTAGAGATATTTAATCATTCTATTTGGGGGAAAGTCTAGTTACTGAAAACAATGGATATTTGTTTTATCTAACTTACCAAACATATGGTGGATGACACCTTCATTTGTCACTCAATGCATGGCCTTAGGGCTTTAGTTAAGTTCCTATCAAAAGCCCCATATATCTCCCCAGTATTCTTTATCTCCTTTCTTTGCTTTAGCTTTCTTTAGGGCTCTTACCACACTCTGGCATGATATTATTTAGCGCTATATTATATTATTGGTTTACTTTCTGCTTATCTTTCCCATTAGATGGTAAATGTCCCATGGATGCTCTGGTATCTTCAGTGCCTGGGAGAATGCTTGGCACTGAACAAACACCTGGTGAATAAATGTAAGTGTGCCCTTCATTCTTCCACTTAGCTGTGCCACGTCCAGAAAAAGCGAGCAAGATAACAATGGACCTAGGAAACACGGTCTCTGGAGAAGACATTTATAAAGCAAGGCTTTTTCATGCTGAAAGGATCAAAAGAGGAACCTGCCATGGTCAAACTTTGAGGGTGAAATGAAAGTAAATGAATGAATGAACTAGAAAAAGCAGATTTGGTTTCAGTATGTAAGCTGAACTTATGAAACTGCTGATATGAGATTCATTGTAACCTATAAAAAAGAAAATTTCCTCTCTATCTAATGCCTAGACACGTCAACCACAGAGCGGGATGCTGAGAGAGGGAGTGAGCTCTCCACCACTGGAGGAATTCTAGTGGAACTTGATGTTGGAATACTGTAGGAGAGACCTCTGAAGCTGGTGAGGGATTATCTCACAACTATGGGTACAGATTTATCATACTAACTATGACTTTATCTTTGATTCTTAAATTATTTAGAAGTTCTTTTCATTATTTATTTAAAAGATCTTACAAAACAGATAAAAGGTAAACTTAAGTCAATAAAAATCTTGAACAATATTTAAAAATATCCATTTTTTGGTTCATCACTGTAGTAAACACATGAAATTCATTAGGCTATGTACAGAATTAAAATACCAACCTCGGAGCAAAGACATCTGGCTTTGTGAAAGAGCCCAGGATTTAGTGCCAGAAAAAACCTGAGTTCAGATATTCCTGGTCCTGCCACTTTACTACCATGTGGCTTACAGTGAGAAGACATTTAGCTTTCCTCAGGCTCAGGTCCCTAACCTGTAAATGGGAACAATAATACTTAACCTGCCATAGGCTATCGAGTTACACAGAAAGTGGCTTTGTGGAGCTTTAATAAATTAGCCGTTTATAATTAATTGTGATCATCCTGATGCGCTTAGATAAGCTTGGTACATATTAGAAGTTTAATAGCTTACAAAGGGGACATTTTGGTGCTTCTTTGGAGACAGACATGGTCAGGGGTCCCTGGTGGCTTCCTGCATTGAATGGGTCCTATTCTTAAGAAAAAATGGTGTAACATTTAAGGGTGACGGTGGGTGGAGGGACGGGAGGAGGGTTCAATGTAAGCTCTTGCCTTAGAGGTGAAGAATTAAAATAAAGAATAATGGCCAGCTCCACCAATAGCAATCCTATACTCAGAGGAGAGGTCATGCCACCCATCTGAAAAGAAATGTCTTCAGAATTCATTAAGGAAAAGCACAAAGCAGACACTCACAGATGAAAATCTCAAAAGGTCATTTGGAAAAAGACTGTTTACCTTTCCACTGCCACCAGCTTTATACTGCTAATAGTCTCATATGTGACCACATGTTCAAGGCAGGCTGAAAGGGAAGCTGGCCCAATTAGGCTGGGAATGAAAGGAGGCTCAGGAGTGGCTGGAAACGGTAGAAAGAGCAAAAGGAAATGTGGTGTATATTAGGTCAGCTTATTACCTATCTTCCTGCTAATCACTTTGCATAAAGCCTCAGCAGGAAATCATTTTGTCTCCAAGTGAATCACAGCTTTACAGCAATTTGATAATGAAAGAAATGCTGGTTCTTTCCAAGCTGCGTACTGACTGCATTGTTTGCAGGAAAGAAGCTCCAGGCAGAAATGTAAACAGGGGATCTGCAGAATCTACAATATGATGGCACAAAACTAACTGTGTGTGTGTGTGTGTGTGTGTGTGTGTGTACACACTGGAGCATCTAACAGAAAGGGAGGATGAGTGAAAAAATACAGAAGCAACTAAGTGACTCCTTTTCTTCAATTTTTTGAATGTTCCTTCAAATTGCAAAAATTTTTGTGTATTTTGGAATTTCCTTAGCAAGCCCTAAAGCTGAATAAGACCCTTTCATGGAATGGGAATCATAATTTTACCTGAATAATCAATTTAGGAAAAAAGGCCTGGAAATCATAGCAAAAATAGGTATAGAAAGACAGAATAGAATGTGTAAGGGCAAAATAAAACCACAAAGCCAGTTTGAGACCCTTAAAATGGGAGAAAGGAAGGGAAATAGATCTTCAAATTCCCTAGAAGATATCAAAGTCTGGTGGAAACAGCACTTGCCCCTGTATATAAATACCAGCTAACCTTCTCTGAGCCATGTGACTATGTGGAAGCCAATTTATGGAACAGAGTTAATGGCGCTTATGTGTTATACCTATCTCTTATGATGATTGTGAGGATATAGGTTCTGGGATGAATGAGGTTCTTGGAATTCATTATTTTTAAAATTTTTCTATTCTTTTTTTCTTCACAAGGATCAGCTAAGAGAATAGTTGTGTCACAGTTGTGAGGATGAGGATGAACAGGCTGGTGGCATCCCAAGAGTGCAATTATTCCACCTACTGCAGATCTGCTGAAAACTGCTTAGCAACTTGCCTACTCCTTGGACGCAGTCCCTCCACCCCGCCCCACCTTCATCTAATATAGCAAACACCCAGAAGAGAAGAGTGGACCTGCACAACATTCCCTTGTGCAAAAAAAAAAAGCAAGAGTAAAAGTCATCGCAAATCAGGAAAGTTAGCTGGGAAAACTGTGGACATTAAAAACCAGCCCCACACAATATAACCCCTTGGTACCAGCATGCAGAGGGCTGAAGGCATTGATATCATTTTATGCACTTGGCTTCGTGTAACTATTGTCACATATTGTATTAGAACAGAAGATGAAGAAGGCTAAGTTCATGCTAATTCTTGCTGGAGAGAGGCCGATTAATCCCATTTCAAACAGGCATCGATCACAGAGATACACAGAATGTTAACTAAAGGGTACACAAAATATGCCAGGAGACAATCGATAGTCCCCTGTCCCGCTGCACTGAGCTGAGGAGGGAAGTGACAGGGGAGGAAGAAGACAGCAAAGGGCAAGAGGGATGAGTCTGAGATGAAAAATCAAAAGAACAAACGGTGGAATGGTGCCCAGGAGCACAGAAGTAAACCAGTCCACAGGACCAAAAACATCAGAGGGGAGGAAGCAGAGAGACAGAGAGCATGGCCACATTCAAGTCCTCCTCTAATTAAACTGGGGCAACTGCTTTTTATGCAGCTGTGCGTTTGGTTCAGAAAGAAAAAGCAGTCTGAGAGAGGACTATTGTGAGGGTAATGACTCCGGGGAGACTGGTGGCCATCTCTGCTTATATTTACTGAATATATCCTGAAGATTAGGTGCCCTGATGTTAGAATAGCTGTCTATATGTAAAGTCACATCATTAGCATGTGTGCACAGAGCCTGAGACCCCACCCTAGCAGTCCTTCTGAGCTAAACTCAGCCACCACCTTCAGGGACTTTCTCAAGGATGGAGGGCTGCGAATGTGACTGCTTCTGAGTGGCAGAGAAAATTATTCCTCCATGCTCAGCCCAGGCCAGGGGCAGGTTGCAGCTGGAGTGTCCATCACCTTGGCTAAACAACAGCAAAGGAGTTGATGTGGAGATGAGAGGAATAAAGAGTAGAGGGGGAGGGAAAGTGGGGTGTTGTTCATCTAGAGCCAGCTGGAAATGGCTATGAGAAAAGGAGGCATTTAGGATGAAGCTAGAGATCAATTATTTATACTCTCCACCATCCTAGTGAAGGATTTTAGGTGTGCCTTTCATAAGATCTAGCTTCTGTCTTTCTTGCATACATTTTCTGTCTTTATGCCCTTCTCTGTCTTATTTTCCCTGGAGAATTTCTACTCCAGTTTCAAAATTGGTTTCCTCGTGTTTCTGATTTCTTTTTTTCAAAGTGCTGATGGGTCACAGACCCTTCTCTCTCGCTCCCAATAATCCCCCAATGTCGCTTTTATTATGGCATTCAGGACATCTCAGTAAAATTTACTGATTCTGTGTCTTCCCACTCCTGGATCTCCTCCATTCATCTTTCTCCCTTCTCTCAGGCTCTGGACACAGGGACAGAAATAAGGTAGCATCATACTTCAGTCATCTTTGTATGCAGTCCCTAGCTCAGTGGCTGGGGCACAGTTGTGGAAGATCTATACTTTTTGAACTGAGGTCCAGTCTCAGACTCTCTTGCCCTCATCAACTCATGGTTCATTGTTGTCAACACAGCCTTTTCCCAACACAATTCTACTCACTCCAAAATCTCTGCCAATCATGGCTGAAAACATAATTCTAATTCCTTCTCTATTACTTGGCTATTGTCTTGAAGTTGACCTTGAATTTCTCAAATCAGTTTTAAGTATGTATGTTATTATATAGTGCCTATTATCCTCCCTCAAATTAAATCAACAAATCCATAACTGTAAGACGCTAACCATACTAAATGCTGAAGACCAAAAGAGAAAGTCTCATCTCTTCACATGGTAGTACATAAACTAAAATTACATTAATTTTTAAATAACCAGGCAAAAAAACAACTGTGTGCAAAAGTTGTGTTTCTTTTGCAAAGGGGTTCACTGGTTTTGTCATCGTGGATGTCACCTGGAGAACGGGGGAGTAGAGAGGTTCAAAGCTGCTTGTTTGTAGGTATTACCAGCTGCACCCAGATCCTCTCATTTTCATTTATCATTCTGGACTTTCTAGGCTAAGTTTATTTGTTCTTTAAAAATGTAATTTAATTTTTTATAGTAAAATTTTAATCTTTATTAGTACCTGCTCAGGGTACATAATTACATTCATTGTGGGGAGTTAGTACAAAGTTCAGAGATCATAGGCAATTTGAAAACCACTTGAATTACCTGACATTTCTTTTTTTTTCCCCTTTGGTACTGGGGATTGAACTTAGGACCTTCTGCTTGTGAGGCAGGCACAGTGCTACTGAGATAAATTCCCAGCCCCTGACTTATTTTTTAAGCATTCTTCTTAAATGGGTCTGTGATTAGAATTTCCTGTTCTTCTAACAGTATCACCACTGTGTGATGATCAATCCAAATGACAACTATTTATCAAGCACTTGTTATGAGTTCTACCATCTAATGGAAGGGTGACCATCAAGTTGTATTTTTCATTCTCCTATTGTTTATATGGAGGCCCTGGACTTAACTCCTGTATGGGACTGGGGACCTAAATGAACACACTCACCTCCACCATATGCAGTCTGTCCAGGAAGCCATCCAGTCGCACAAAGACCAAAGAAGACTGGAAATCCCATTCCTTGACTTCCTCCTTCTCTTTGAAGTAAGTATGGAGATTCTCCCTTCTGTCTTGAAACACCTGCTTGAAGAAACCCAAAGTATCCAAGACCACCTGCAGTTTTCTCTGACTTTCTTCTATCTCACTTCTCAGAAGATCTTCTGGGCTGAGGTAGTTAGAAGCCTTGAATGCAAAGAGACTAGTGTCACTGAGCCTGGCTGCAGATGCAGCACACTCCTTAACTTTGTTGACACCATTTTGGACTTCAGTAATTACCCAAGTAATATTTTTCAAAATTTGAGTATAGGAAAGAGCTGACCTTGCCCTCTTTTCCACAGGTGGACTGGAACCAGGGTTTAAGACAGATTGTCTTTGTCACCCTTCAGCCACAGTAATTTGAAACAATCACTGTGATCAGGCAAGTTACTGAACAGAGACAAGGAGAAACAATGGAACTTCTTTGGGGCAGTGGGGACTAAGGCAGGTCCTCATTCCCAGGTGTTTTGTGATCTATTAGCTTTTAAGGATGAAATTATTTGAGTGCAAAAATTTTTTGGAACATAATTATTTCTGTCTCTGAGAAACTCTCAAACCTAGAAGCTGAGAAGATGGAGCTGGGAAGATGGAGCTCTTGGACAGTTACCTTCATTACTATAAGGAAAGGCAACAGAATGGAGTCCTGGGTCTTGCTGCCATAATTGAAGGCCCTATTTATTACAAGTCAAGGGTAAAGCTAGAATTACTTTTAACTTTCAAGGTTCAGAAGCCAATAAGTTTTCCTTTGGTTGATGCTTCTTTTAGTTGGATTCTTTTATACTTTCAATCAAAATAGTCTGATAAACATGGAATGATGGCAATGCAGGTCTAAGAGCCAAACAACATGGGTTCAGAACTTGGTTTGGGAGTCCTTGGGTGAGGCAGGCAATCTCCTGAGACTTAGCCTATGTCATCAGGTAATAATAACAACAACAATAATAAACCCTTCTACCTCTCTCACAAGGTTCATTTGATACTTGGCAGAGATACGAATGTAACATTTTGTAGCCTCAATGAGCTTCATAGTTGTTACTAACTACGAGCTGCACTTTAAGCTTGTTTCTTGTTTTCTCAGAGTTGCAGCTCCTTAAGAAGCCAATTTGGAAAGGAAGACCAGACAAACTTCCTGAGGCATCTAGCTCTATTTACAGATATACTCCTTAAGATTTATACTGGTTGATGCTACAAGAGACCCTAAAAAAAGAAGCAAGAAGTGTGCAATCCAAGGAGTAGCTTCTCGATAGCTACTGAGGCTGTTTTCACCATGTTCAGGGCACATACATTACTACACTGAAGCCTCACAGGCACCCAGCACTCCTGTGAGATAGGTCCTCTTTTTCACATCCTGGCAGAGAAGTGGGAGGCACACAGCAGGCGAGTGACTTGCTCCTGAACACACAGCTCACAAGTGGTGAAGCCAAGATTTGCCTAACTCCAAAGGTACAGTGTTAATCATCAGGTTTTGCTGCCAGCTTAATACCAGTCATGAAAGAGGTTGCACAGATCATGAAGGAGATTGAAATTCATTGACTTACCCTTAGCACCCACTCTCCCTGGCTGAGCTAGAGTGAAAAGACACATCCTCCTGAGTTTCTAATATTACTGAAAGCCTCTTTATGAATTATTGGCTTGTGAGAGTACAATACTTCAAAGGTGAAAAGTGTTTGGAGCATAATTATTTCCAAGCCTGGGAAAAAAGTACACTTCACCCTTTCCTGTGCCAACCAGTTCCCAGGGAGAGGGATGCCCGGGAGGCCCACCTGCTCGATGAGAAGGTTGCACATCTCTTGGAGCAGCACAGTGAGCCTCCCTGGAGAGCGGTAGCACTTGCATGTAGCCCAAATCAGGCAGACCACATGGAGCAGGAGCTGCAGCCGGGGCTTCACCTCAGGAAACTCCACACTTTCCAGGGCTTCCAGGTGGCCTTGGAGCGGTGACAGGTGCAAGTGGATGTTTTGAGCCTCTGTCAGTGCTGGAAGGAAATGGACCCGGTCACCAATCTCTGCTTGAGGCAATCCCCACTTGGTGGAGCCCTAGTGCCTGGGGAGTGAAGGAACTGCAAAGGAATGACTGCAGCTCCTTCTCGAACTGAGAAAGCAGAGAGGAAGCTAGTTCCAGAAAACATTCTGGCTCTTATGCAGAAATATGGAAATCTAGAGATCCCTGAATGTGTAAAATAATGGTCTGACGCTGTCTTTCTGACAATGTTGCTCTATTTGGACTTCTTCCTGGCTTTCCCAGATCTATTCTGGTACGTATGTGTGTGGTAGACCCTCTATTTGATAAATACTTGCTGATTACTTTGGTACTGATATATCCAAAATAATAGCAAATTGAGAACCAGGAACCAGTTTTAGAATCAGAAAGACCTAGTTGCAAATGCCAGTGTAGTTACATGAACTTGGAAGTATCCAGCATCTCTAAACCTTACAACAAGCTAATCAGTAGGTAATTTTGAGGGTCCTTGTGAAGGGAGAACCTCAGTGCTGGACCACTATAGGTGTTTGAAAAGTGGTAGAATTTTTGTTAAATATTTATTAGTAAAAAATCGCATTGGAGTCTTATATAGGAGAAGTTACAGAGAATACAGAGCTAGCACAGAACGATGAGACCAAAGCTCAGGGCAATTTTCAAAGCCAGGAAAATCACCTATCATCTCCTTTGAACACGGCCAAGAAAAGAGAAGGACCTTCACAGATCACCTTAGTAATCAAGAAGGAAAAGGAGGAAATCAGCAGTACTGGGTAATAACAACTTAGAGAAAATGTGAAAGTCCATTCAGCAATCAGAATTGGATTGGAGCATTTGTAAAGTGGTTCTTTCTCAGGCAGATAATCAGTCCCTATCATGTGAGGACAGATGGTCTTAGATTATATTATGTGGATAAAACACTGCATTCATCCTAAAGGAAACTCAAGATAGCCCCTATTTACCAAACATTTCCAATATGCCAAGATTACTCTACCCACTAGACAAACACACACCATCTCATATAGACCTCTGTGAGACAGCTTTATGAGTGAAGATACTGAGACTTAACATAACTTGCTAGGCTCATCCTGTGAGTTGGCTAGTCCTGTCCAGCCAAGCAAAATGAAGATTATTCCAAGTTTACTATTTTGAACCCTGGCTTCATGATTGTTAGGCTCAGGAGACAGAGGGGAATGTTAATGTGCATGTTTGCATTTTATACCCCAAATGATTTATAGGAAGTGGTATGTGAATTGAAAGTCAAATGTCACGGTATATTGATTAGAGCAGTAATCTTAATTTAGTTGGGGTGGGGAGTTCCAAATCCAAGAGCCGTTCTAATAAGCACATGCTCTGGCTTCATATGTACAGTGACGGAGAAACACCTGGGACCATCATGCTAAAGGAGTGTTTTTTCTGTGATACCCTGTTTTGATGCATTTTTTAAAAAACAAGATTTTTTTTTTTGGTACTGGGGATTGAACTCAGGACCTTGTGCTTTCTAGACAGGCAGTGAAACCACTGAGCTAAATCCCCGGCCCCTAAAAAACAAGATTTTTTAATCATACAAATAAGCACTACCCTGACTTCTAGGAGGATGCTATTTGAGGGAACACAGGCGGCTTTAGTCCAAGCAAGGTGTAATCACCTTGCCTTACAAAGCCAATTAAGCCAGAGAGAAAGAGAGATAGGCTCACACTTTTCAAAAAATATAGTTGTCCCTGATATCTTAGAGAGATTTCTTTCTTTCTTTCTTTCTTTTTTTTTTTGGTACCATGGATCAAACTCCGACCTTGCGCTTTCGAGGCAGGTGGCAGGAACCACTGAGCTAAATCCCTGGCCCTTAAGAAAGATTTCTTCCAGGACCTCCCCCCATACCAAAATCTGCAGATGAGTCTCATATAAAATGGCACAGTATTTGCATATGACCTATGTACATCTTCCTGTATAATTTAAATCATCATCATATTACTTATAATACCTAATATATTGTAAGCGCTATGTAAATACTTGTGACACTGTATTTGTATCTGCACTCTAACAGTGAGCTACACCTAAGTCTCAGAATTATTATTATTTTTAGTATTGGAGATTAAACTGAGGGCTTTGCACATGCTAGGCAAGTATTTTACCTCTAAGTTAAATCCCCAGCCCTTTTCTATTTTGACACAGGGTCTCACTAACTTGCCCTGGTTGGTCTTGTATTGTGATTCCCCTGCCTCAGCCTCATGCGTAGCTGGGATTATGGGCATGCACCACTACACCAGGCCCCAACTGTTCCTTGATTTTTAGTGATTTGTATTGTTACACTGTTATGTTTTAAAGAATACTTTCCATTTGGTTGAATCTACAGGTGTGGAACCCTTGGACATAAAGGGCCAGCCGAATATATAAGTAGTCAGTTGCACAGTGATAAACCAGCAGTTTACTGGTAAATCTTTAACAGCAAGCTCTTCAGTGATGAATGCCTTTTTTGCTTCATTTGGCAATTTTTGTGGGGTGAACATTTCCAATATTTTTAAACTATGAATTTGACTTCACTAAGTGTTGCTTGGGAGGATTAAAAAGATTTGCACACACTTGTGTTTCAGGGGCTACTGCAGACCAGGCCAACCTGACTCCCGTGCAGCACAGGACACTGACTTCCTTCCCACCCATTTCCACCTACAGACATCCCTGTGGGTGTTATGGTTTGCACGCCCTCCAAAATTCAGGTGTGAAACTTAATAGCCAGCATGATGGTATTAAGTGCTGCAGTCTTTAAGAGGTGCTTAGGCCATGAGGATTCCTCCCTGGTGAATGGGATTCAGACCTTAAAAGACTCCCTGCAGCATTTTGCTAGCTTGCCGTTCCGTCTTCCCCCACGTGAGGACACAGTGCTTCTCCCCTCCAGACCCTTCTGGTTCCTTGATCTTGGTCTTCCCAGCCTCCAAAGTACTGATAAATGAATTTCTGTTCTTTTTAAATTACCCAGCCTGAGGTAGCCTGCAATAGTCACACAGGTGAACTAAGAAAACTGGCAACCAGGCTGTACTATGCTAAACATGAACCCCTGGTAGCAGGAATGAGAACCCCCTAGTAAGTCTTTTTTGCTCTGTTCTTTCTTCCCAAGGGCACAGTTTCTTCCTGTTTTCCAAGATGCTTCATCATGCGATCAACTATACTTCTTACAGTCTTGTTTCCATACATTTCCTCGCCCTTTTCAACTTCATTTTTCACTGTTTTCCAGCTCATGGTCACTAATTCAGAAATATTTCTTCTTTTTTCTGTCTCTTCAGTGCATCACTGAGCCAAGGAATTACCCTGATCATAACTAATAAGAATAATGTACACAGTATAGCTATTTAGGATAGAGAAAATCAGACACTCTGAAATTAAATTAGAAATGACAGTCAGTAAACAGCCTTTGAAATCTTTTTATTCTTAGTAGATAGAGCCTGACAAAATTTCTAACCAACTCTCTACCTAACACTTCTAATCAAATTTTCTTTTCTTCCATCATCAGAATTGAATTACACATTTAAAGGGTTTCTATTACTACAGTAGTGTTCATTTGGCACTATTATAATCATATTTCATTGCCAGTGTATGCTCTACTGGAAAGAACTTTTTGAAGCTAGCTTAGGGAAACAAATCTTTCACAACTATTAATCTATAGGAACAATCAGCTTCTCAGTCTACTAATGTGATAAACATGTGGGGGAATAAATAACTAAGTCCTAACATACTTTTACTACATGCTGTATCCTATTTCAGAGTTTCAAATTTCAGATGTTTACATATTTTCATTATGATATATTTCATACCTATATACAACTTGTAGTATTTCTTCTATAATATTTTTCTCTAAACTAGCTCCCTAAATAAAATTACAGTTTGCCCCTTGGTATCCATGGGCAATTGGTTTTAGGACCCTGTGAAAATGCCAAAATCTGAAGATGCTGAAGTTCTTTAGATAAAAGAGCATAGTATTTGCGTATAATCTACACGCAAATCCTCCTATGTTGTTTAAATCATCTCTAGATCACTTAAAATAACCTAATATAATATAAATGTTATCCAATCATTGTTATACTGTGTTGCTTAGGGAATAATGACAAGAAAAAAGTCTGTTCATGTTTAATACATACAAATTTAAAGATTTTTTAAAAAATAGTTTTAAAATATTTTCAACTAATCGTTGGTTGAATTCTTGGATGCAGAACCTATGGATGTGGAGGGATGATTGCATATAAAATGAAAACTTTAAATCATTACTCAAATGAGAAAACTGGTATCATTTGCTCAAAACAGAGCCACACTTTTAAGACATTTTATAAAATACCTGTCCACATGTTTCTCACAATTGACTCTCACATCAACAATGGTACACACTCCATTTGGGGGGACACCTGTCTCTTTGAGTTGAAATATAGTCTGGGAACTGATTCCACTCGGATACAGCACAGTATCTCTCAATGAAGTGGTAAACTGAAGCCTTAAGAGACATCTTGAGGCCAGGGATTTAGCTCAGTGGTTTCGGCGCCTGCCTTGCAAGCACAAGGTCCTGAGTTTGATCCCCAGTACCAAAAAAACAAACAAACAAACAAAAAAAACAGAGAGAGAGACATCTTGTTCCAAGTCAGCTTTATGTGCTGGCAGAGAAGCCTCTGCAATGAGATCTAAGGGCCCAGAAGGAACTCAAAGACTGGCTATTTATGCCAGCTTTGTTTTGTTATAAGACTTATATCAGAAACATTTTTACTGGAACTTTTATTCCTTTAGCTAAGTGTCTTCCAAACCCTATGCCTTTAGGGGAAGGTGGGATGAGAGAGGTCAACCAATGAGCTTTGGACAGAGAAGACTGCTTTCTTTAACAGAGCAAACAGACCTTGGGTATTTTTATAGTTTGAACTTACATGGGAGATTTATTAATTATTTATTTTTGTGGTACTGAGGAGGGAACCCAGAACCTCCTGAATGCTAGGCAAACATCTACGACTGAGCTACATCCCCAACCCAGGAGATTCTACTTAAAGAAAATCCTGGAGAGAAAAAATGTTTGAAAATCACTGCTTATGTTAGACTTAACTCATCTGAAATTGCAAATATCTTTAAAGCACATTTTGACTCATACTATTGAAGAGGGAAGAAGAGATTGGATGGGAAAAAGAGAAGAAACAAAGTGCACCAATGATTGGAGAGGGAGCCCTGAAAACTTTTACCTACTTCTAATCATAGACTTTGCTAGCTTTGCAGTTTTGACAAGGGCTGATCTTGTATGGTGCTCAGAGGGACAGGAAATTGCTGTTCCAACTGACTATAAGACCAAAAATTACAGAATGGAGCTAGAAATGGAACAGCATTTCCTCAAGGAGCTAAGGGTAGAGGGACATAAAGTCCAGAAGTGAGAGATAACAACATGCATTCACACAGCATGATGCAACCAATAAAGTTCTTCCATCTACATAATCTCACAAGGTTACAGGGAAGTAGAGAAGGTGCGGAGTGTGCACTGTCACCATGGTACCTGCGAAAGCTCAAAGAGGTTGGGTGAATTTTCCCAATGTCACCAAGTGAATAAACTGTAAACAGCACAGTTTTGTTCATCTGCTCTCCTTCTAGATTTGGTTTGCTAACATCATGCTAGATTGTGTCAGGTTGCAAGGTTATAAGGACTTGAAGTTGCTGAAATCAAAGAGAGGTGAATGCATCTGTAAATAAGAAATTTGAGTCAAACATATTTGGGAAAATGTTTGTTGGTCCTCACCTGCTACAACATCTTTGAACATGGCTTTGAAAGCTGGGAAGTAGCTGCTTTGAAGCTTGTCCAGGAGGCCAGCCATGGCCCTCACCTTAATAGTTCTCAGCTGATTATAAATGTATTCCAGATCCTCATACCTATAATACCACAGAGAAGGGTGAATCCAGATGAGCATCAGGAAACAGAAGTCACACTGCACTGACCACCCTCCCACAGGCAGAGAGAAAGACAGTCTCAGGTGCTGCTGCAAAAAGCTGTGCTCTAGCCTGAATAGCCAGAACATCTGTGCCAGGACAGTGAGGGCAAAAGCCTGAGTTGGGAACACAGGTTCAAAGAGGGCAGCTCCAGGAAACACTGCTGTGGCCGTCTGGTAGCTCAGCAGCTTGGCACTGGCAGCTGGAGGTCATTAGCTCTTGCAGGAAGGTTGGGGCTGGGTGAGAGAAGCATTGTTAGAGCAAAGCTGCTTGAGAAGGGCCCCACTATAGGTTAGCAAAGTGGCCAGAAACCAGGCAAGAGGATGGGAATCTCAGCATGGTGGTGCAAACAGGGCTGGAGCCCTGAGGGGAGGCCTAGCCATATGACAGGACACACTCCATTGGAGTGAGGACAGAGACATCTGCCTCCAACATCTGTCTGTCTCCTTTTGAGTAAAAAAATTTATCAGGACAATGATAAATAGAAGCAAAAAATAGGGAGCAAGCGAGGGAAGGAGCAGGAGCAATAGTCAGGTATTTCTGGTCGCCCTCTGGTTCAGGGACACAGAGTTACAGGGATTTCAAGCCCTGCTAATGATGAGCCAGGTCCCCAGGAGAGGCTCCTTCTGCAGCACCTTTCAAAAACCCTTCTTTTTTTCAGGTCTTTACAAAAGGTATGTGGATCTAAGAAGGAAGGAGTCAAAATTAGAAGAAAAAATATTAGAGTAGATTAATTTCACATGCAATGGAAAGAGCCAATGATAAAATTTCAGATGTACCAACAGTAGTACTCGAGAGGAAGAATGAATATTGAAACCTGGGGAAAGAGTGGATCTCCCAGTCCATAACAAAACTACTGACCCAATGACACTGAGCTGTCTGCCCTAGGGAGGATGAGAAACATCTATCAAGGAGGACTAGATCCAGTAAGGCATCTTTTTCCTAGAAGTCATACATGTATTTTCCTACTTACCTTTTCTTCCAGAACTCCAGTTCCACCTTGGGGGTGGGATTCTCCCCTTGTAGGAATGGTTGAGAAGACTCTCTCTTAAGCACAACCTGGACTTGGTGGGTCCACTTGATCACTGCAGACTCAATGGCATAGATGATTGACTTATCTATGGAATCCGAGCTATGAAAGAAAAAAAAATCTAGAACATGTGGAAATAATTTAAGTCTGGATGTATTAGTTAGTTTTCCACTTCTATAACAAAATTTCTGAGGCTAGGTAACTTATAAAGAAAAGGGGTTTATTAAAACTTATGATTTTAGAGGTTGGAAGACCAAGGTCAGAAATCTCCATTTGTTTGGCACCTGATGAGGGGCTCACAGCAGGTGGCATCATGGTGGGAGTGAGAATGAGAAGGATCACATGGCAAGACAGAAAGCCAAAGAGCAAAGAAGGACCAATCTTGCTTTTTTACAACAGCAAACTCCAGAGGGAACCAAGGCCCCACAAGATCCCCCTGGCAGTGTCCCCACTGACGTATTTAACTTCCACAAAGCTCAAGCCCTTAAAGGTTCTACCACCTCCCAACACTGTCACACTGAGAACCAAGCTTCCAACACACAAACCCTTGAGAAACAAGCTCAAATCAAATTCAAACCATATCACTGAGTGAGCCCCATAAAAGCACCACATGTCTTTTAAAAACAGGTAGGTAGGAGATTCCAGCTGGTCTTAGTTTTTTTGTTTTTGTTTTCTTTTTTGTCATAGAATCTCTTGATTAGTGAATGAATTGTATAGATCCAACACTATTCATACAGATCCAAGACTTCATCAATATTTTGCAGATGTTTTCACAAACTTAAAATGCCATCAAATCTTCCTGTCACTGCAAGCATACCTTGGACAGGAGATATCAGATAACCACCCATCCTTACTTGACTTTCACCAATGAGAACAATCTCTCTACTTGACAAGGCAGCACATTTCTTAGTAGGTCAGCTTTCCCAGGTTGAAAATTTGTCTCAACATGGAACCACACCTACCTCCCTGCAATTTCTTCATTTTGCTCTGAGTTCTAATTTCTGCAGCAGGAGAAAATAGGTTACTTACTCCTCTACAAGTCAACCATCAGCTTTTCCAGTCCCATCATTATGATTTCACTGTGTGTTTGCTTTTCTGGTGAAGAATGGAATTTTCAAGCTTTCTTCCCTCATACATCTTTTTAAATGTTGTTTTAAATAACTTAGCTATATTTGAAAAGGAATACAAATTTTTAAAAATTCATTATGGCTATCCTTTTGCATCATTTTAAATGAAATTAGTAAGTGCCAAGCACCAAGGGCATAGTATTTAAAAAGGGGAGTGTGTCCTTTACATTTTCAAGCCTGAAACCTACCTTCACTTAATTTAATTAAATTCATATTTGCTGAGAAATGATGTGGCCCAAGTGATTATGAAAGGTAGTAAAAAGGAGAAGAAATTCACTTCCCCCCAAATGATCCAACCTTTGTGGAAATAATCAAATTTGAACAAAGGGAGACAAACTCAACAAGGATTATACATATACACTGAATGTTATTAAGGTATAAAGGGACCAGAAAATGGGGTAGTTTAAATTTATTTGTTTTGAAAATTGGATATTTTTATTAAGTCATGATAAGTTTTTCAGCTAAAGGGGAAATTACTTCAAAGTGTATATGTAACGAATTACTTCCAATAGGAAAAAAGTATTTATTATGAAGTATATTGCTGTTTGCATGCATTACTTATTCTTCAAATGAATCATGGCTCCTGGATGAACATGACAATAATATACTAAGAAACTCCTGGCAATACCGTAGACCAAGCTCTTGCAGGAAGAAGACCAACTGTTGCCAAAATGTATTATTTGTCCACATAGCATGTTTTGAAAAAAAAAATCCTCAGGGTACAGAAGCAATGGACAACTCAAAGCTGGAATAGCATTTGGGAGCCAATGATGGATCTAACTTCTGAAAGGAGATGAGGCTGGGGTTTTAATACCCACTCAGAAACAGGAAGCATGGACTCTCCAGAGAAGCTAGATTTGTTTCTATTTGGAAAAAAAATATTCTAAGACCTGGAAAAAAGTCTGCAACTGCTAGGGGAGGGAGGACAAGTACAGGTGAGGAGCCTGGAATCCTAACAAGAGCCGCCAGAGTTAGTGCTGTGACATTAGGTACTGAATCAAGGAGGCGTGGGCGCAGCCTCTCGGCTGGACCTGAGTCTTTGCTAACAATGAGCTGCTTTTTGATAAACAAAATAGCACTGAAAATCAGTGTGCCTCCTGTCAGCCTGGAAGTGATTCTGAATGGAAAGAAGGCCACACTGCTGTGATAGCTTAAGAGACTTCAGGCTGAGGGACCAGGGCTAGGGATGTAATCAGTGCAAACATGCACTCCGAGGATGCTGGCAAACAGAGCAGACAGTGGGCTTGTGTGCAGAGTGAGGAGTTGTGCAGCATCGGGAACAGAAAAGTCATTCAAAGCAAACATTCAGATAAACCAGCTTGTCTCATATCTCAGAGCCCTCTATGGACAGGCTGGCTGTACTTACACTGTCTCACTTTCAGGATCCACAAATTCAACTTTTTCTGAGCCTACTGGAAGAGGCAGGAATGTTCTCCCCTTCAGTTGTTCCAGGATAACAAGGAGGTCACACTGGAGGGTGTGGGCATGCCTCCTGACATCTTGGCATACCATGTGGGGCCAGTCTAAATGGTTCTTCTCATTGGCCAAGATGGGTACAACCACCTGTAACAGTACACAGTGAAGAGAGACATGCATTCTATGCTGAAACTTTACAGAATGACTATTCTGAAAAAAGGTCTGTGAAGTTACACACATCTTTCCATGGGTCATTACACTATAAGGCTTAATACCAGTGTCCCACATTACATGCTGCCTTGACATCTGGTAATATATGGAGGTTTTCAAATAATCTACCCACAAGGATTCCTCCCTACTCTGCTCTTGTCAATAACGTCCCTAAGCCAAAAGACCCTCCTTATTGAGGAAGGACCCAGCATGGTTCCTCCTTATCCCTGAGCTTCAGGTTGCACTTCTCTCCCAGGTTGTAGGATTATTCAAACAAGCCAATCCCATTCTCCCAGGAGAGCCAGGGGATTCCTCTTGACGTATAAAGTGTGTCTCTCATGGTCCCTAAGGGTTCACTCTGTTCCTAAGTGCAACTCCAATATGGACCTGCATGGTACAGTGTCTTCCTCCTCTGGTTGTGAGTATATGTGACTAATAAACTAAAGTCCACCTTATTTACCCTATGTTGGTTGTTTTGTGTTCAGCCATCAGCATTACTCAGGGGCAGGAATCCCTCCCTCATCAACAGTGTGAACAGTAGCCAAGTGAAACAGTCACACACACACACACACACACACACACACACACACACACACACACTGACCAATACAGGTAAAGATAATCTGCCTACAGTTATGAGGAGGAACCCATAAGCAAAGTTGTGAATCTTTTTCTTTAGCACTATCATCATCATCATCATCATCATCATCATCATCATTATTTTATCAGTACATATTTGCATTACATAATGAGTATATTCATCATGGAAAATTGGTACATGTACATATAACATCTTAATTCTTCTTAATTTCCCCTCTTCTCTCTCTCTTCTCTTTCCCTCCATCTTTAGGGTAAACATTAGCTAATTTTGACCACTGCACATAGCTCCTCTTCTTTTGGGACCCAACCCCAAATCTTGAGGTAGATATGGAACCAAATATGAGCCAATGAGAGTAAAGCCAAAGTCTCTTATCTAAACTCTTCAAGGAAGGGATCTCTTCTCTATGCTACTAGTCTGGAGTATGGGGAGGTCATCTTGTTCTCAAATGGAGCCGTAGACTAAAGTCCATATGGAGAGGAAACAATGTACAGAGAAGAAAAACCAAGCCCTGGTGACTCTTTAAATCAAGCTGTTCATGAAGTTTCTGAGCTGGTTTAAATTGAGTTTCTATCACTAGCAACTTAAAAAGTTGTCAGCGTAATTCACTAGGAACCTCTGTCTATTAAAATTGCAATGCTATTGCAACAGGAATAGTATCAAGATAGGCAATGTGAGGGTCATGTAACATGATGAGGAACCCACCAAGGAAATAACCAAAAGGAGACATGGGTCATATGGCTGATAGGGTCTGTAGATAACCAATAAGACCTGGGAGGTGTGAGATAGAAAACCTAGACCCTATATATTAAATTACAGACATTTTCTTTGCCTGGTATTTCTGGAAACATTCACTGAGATCTTATATGATCAGAGAACTCAAAAAGGACAAAAAAACAAAGGTCAAAAACATACGGTCACATTCATATTGAGACAAACCCTTTGGAGCCAGGGCAGAGGTCCTAGCAGGGAAAAAGGATAAACTGGAATTTCCTTAAGATCTGAAAGGCAGTAGCTGCATTCAGAGATCCATATATATGTTGTTGTCCCTTAGCATCTGGCATCTAAACAGCACTCCATAGAGGTTTATGGATGTCTGCTGTCTGAAGAAAAAGTGATCAGTTGGCTTGGGTTGGACTTGGGAGGGCTTGGAGTGATAGGAAAATAGTGAATGTGAAAACTCTATGAAATGAAAGTTGATTCATTAATTTACTTCAAAAGTATTAAACATTTACTATGTGCTAGTGCTATTCTAGATGCTAGGAGGACACATCAGTGGACAAAACAGACAAAAATTCATGACTTCAAAAAGTTTATGTTTCAGAAAAGGAGCAGCCAAAGAACAGTAAATTCTGTGAATAAAAATAAAATACCAGAGGGGAATCAAGGTTATGAGGTAGAAAGGATGCAACTATCAAGGTCAGTGCAGGCGTCACTGAGAGGAAAGCATTTGAACAAAGGCAGGCGGATGGGGAGAGTGCTTTGCAGATCCTTGGGGGAACTATATTGATGGTGAAAAACAAAGCAGTGGAAAGTCCCTGAGGTTGGAGGATGCTTGGTGTGATCAAGGAGTGGTGTTGAGACCAGTGAGTATGGAACAGGATGGGCAAAAAATAGGATTAAGGGCGGGGGTGTCAAATCACTTGCAGCCTTACTTGTAGGATTCTGATTTTCACTCTCAAAGAAATGAATATCAATGAAAGGTTCTAAGCAAAGGAGTGACATGGCATGACATCTCTTAGTAAGATCATCCAGCTCCTGTGATGAGAATGGATTATTGGCGACAAAAGTGGAAAAGGAGGTCTAGCGAGAAGTTATTGCTGTAGTACAGAAGATAGTGGCTTGGCACAGGGGTAATGATGAAAATGGAAGATATGTAACTCACTTTTTCTTTTTGCCATGCTGTGGATTGAACCTGGGGCCTTCCAGATGTTAGGCCAGTACTCTACCACTGAACTAAGATACACCCTCAGCACCAGATATAATCTAATTCTACATACATTTTGAAGGCACAGCCAATGTGAGGTGTTATGAATTGGTTTTCAAGTTGTGAGAGAAAAAGAGAGATCTGCATTACTCCAAACCTTGAGCAACAGGAAGAATAGAGTTGTCATTAAGAGATGGGGAGAATAATGGTGCAGTTCTTGAGAGAGAAGCAGGAGCTTGCATTTGGACATGATAAAATTTGGTATATCAAATTTTATGGACTTTAAATTTTATGGACTTGAAGCTGGAAACATGGAGTAGGCAGTTGGATATGCTTGGGAGTGGAGCTCAGAGGAGAAGACAAGGTTGGAGATAAAGACTTTGGAGGTGTCAAATAAAAAGGGCTTATAAAATTTTGAAATTAAACGAGAGCCCTTAAGAAAGAATATATACAGAGAAGATGTCCTAGGAACCAGCACTAGGGCCCTCCAATGTGAAGAAGCTGGGAGGAAGAGGAGGCAAATCAGATTTGATCAAGTGGAGATCATTTAGAAACACTGCTGAGCTCTTTCATTTCTCTCCTCAGGAGGATAGGAATGAAAGCCTGATGACTGTGTATGAGACCAGACAGGAGGCTGGACCATGGTAAAAAAGGACACACATCCCAGAATTCTGCTTTAAGTTGGATCACAGAAATAGGGTGATACCTATGAGAATTATCTAGTAGAAAGGGAAACAAGAAGAGAAGAGAGATGGGGAAATTGTTGGGGTGGGATCAGGGCAAAAATGGCAGTTTTAGGCTTAGGGTTGGCATCAAACAAGAAAGACAGTACACTTGTAGCAATGAAAGGGATGGTAATGAGTGTGGATTTTGGCAGATGGGGTAGACATAATAATTTGGGGAGATTTTGTTCTATTATTTCCATTTCCTTTGTTTTTCAAAGAAAGAAGCAAGAGCATCACAGAGTGAGGTTAAAAGAGAAAGTTTTGAACATTTGAAGATATGAAAAAAGTGAAATATGACCTAAAATATTAAGAAAATAATTGGAAAGAAAATATAGGATGTCCTTGGGAAAAATAAAAGGCCTACTAGTGGTTCAAGGTCCAAAATTTAAATGGAGCCAATTGGCTTTTCCCTAGCTCCATTCAGTTTCATAGTGCAGCCACAGAGTGGAGAGGGGGACTTAACCAGGACTGTGGTGTTGCCAAATGTGTAGCCACAGTGAAGTAAGAGCCTGAGTTGATGATGCAAGGGAATGATGGGAATGTTGGAGTATAACGCTCATGCTGAGTAGGGGATAAAACATGGGTGTGGCTGAGGAACAGGGGGAACACAGCAGGCCCAGTGGATTGCAGGTGCCAGCAGGGTCTTGGGATTGTTGTAGTTAAGGCATGAGAAGGATGAAGCTGGAAAAGGAGGAGCAGTGGTCAAAGATGGAGGTGCATAAAATTGGATCATGGAAGTTCTCAGTGATGCAGGACTGGAAAGGTGTAGGAGAGAGATGCTTAAGATAAAAAGGACAGGATCTCTGGAGGAGAAAGTTTTGGGGAACCTAGAGGCCAAGTATTAGAAAGACCAGTTACGTCTATTGAAATAACCATATATTATTTTTTGGGTGAAGTCCCACGGAGGAGGGGTCAAAGTCATGGAGAAAGAAGGGCTCTGTCATCAGCACAGGATGCAGCAATGAGGTTAGGTGACCTTGTCTGAGGATAAGAAATTCAAATTGGAGGGTATTCGACCCAAATGAAGAAGCAGCAAGGAGAAGTAAGGAGGTTACCCATTCTACCTCCAGGCTCATGGGCACCTGTGGGGGATACAATCGAGTCCTCAGGGAAGAGCCAGGCTAGGCTACAGCAAAGTAACAAGAAGCCATCAGAGAAGAGGACTCTAAATGGGATACAGAGTGATGATGAGTCATCCACAATGTGACACACTCTGTTCCAGGTGTCTTAATATATAAAAACTAAATTTCACAACAACCGTGGGCGACAGTTGGGACCTGAGAGAGTCGGCTTACCAGCTCATGTCATGCTGTTGAATGTGACAGAACCAGGGTTTGAACAGAGGTCTGTCAGACTCCCAATTCCTCACTTCTGTTCAAAACACAAAAATCCAAAACAGCAGCCAAATCTCAGAGCACTAGTAAAAATATTCTGGCAGCAAGAATCAGGTGGTTAGGAGGAGGAGAAAAGAATGAGGAAAACCAGTTACTAAATTCCGTAAGATTTTCCTTCAAACATTTTTAGGTGCACATTCTTTCCTTGTTGTAGTGTAACAGGACAAAGATAATGTTGAAATTATAGCTTTTTCTCCTTGTCAACACCTCCCGCAAACACACACACACACACACACACACACACACACACACAGGCTTGCAGCAGGAAGACTTCTCTCAGCCAGGTGAGCTATTTGCCTTTAGCAGTGCTGAGCAGAAAGGTGGAAGGAAAAGGGGAGCAGGTAGCTGGAGGCTGTGGTGAATTAACAGCACTGAGAGGGCAGAGGGGATTGAATTGGTGGGTCTGGAGGCAGGGCCTCAGCAGATGGGAGGTGAGCAAGGTTTCCCAGGGTCAGCTTCAGGTGTGCAATAGAAAATAAGAGAACAGAGAGTTGAATGGAATAAGGATTCCTGCTACAGGCTTTGAGAAATGCAAGTGAAGGATCTGAGGTATTTTTTAAAGAAATTATTTTTATTTAAATTTTAAATAGATAGTACATTTAAATGGCACAAAATTGTAAAAGCACAAGAGCTTTTGAAGCAAAATATAAAACTTCTACCTACCCCTGTATCTCAACCATTCAGTTCCCCCAGACTGGATTAGAAATGGTTAGAGTGTCCTTCCTGTTCTCCCTTTCTCCTACCTTTATCTTTCTAGTATAAATGGAGCATGCTATACATACAATTCTGTACTTGTTTAAAAATTATCTTATAGTGTAGTATTATTCACAATAGCCAAGGGATAGAAACAGCCTACATATCCAAGACAGATTATGAGACAATGAAAATATGATTATATGTGTGTATATATATTAGAATCTTATTCAGCTTTTAAAAAAAGAAAAAAACATAACTGTTATCATTTAGATCTAGAATGTCCCTTAAATGTCTTGTGTTCAGAGGTGGGGCTTTGGGAAGAAAATTGTAACATGGGAGCAATATGCTCTTCAGTGGATTGATCCACTGATGAATTCATAGCTCACTGTGTTCTTCAGAGTTCAGTCCTGGTCAGAAGAGGTGGTTCACTGGGGTCATGATCTGGAAGTATATTTGCTTGTCCTCAGCCCCTCCCTTCTCTCTCTTCTTCCTGGCTGCCATGAGGTAAGCAGCTTTCCTCTGCCATGCCTTTTCCACCATGATGTTTCTGCCTTGGAGTCAGCTGGCCATGGACTGAATCCCTCCAACCATGAGCCAAATTAAACCTCTCCTTTAAGTTGTGGATGTTGGATATTATATCCATCAACAAGAAAGCTGACCAATACACTGATGTAACCAACTCCATGTAGCTCTTGAGTTCTTGTTTTGGGGAAACAAAGATTAAAGCCAACAAAACAGTAAGCAGTGGGGAACAGTCAAAAGGAAAGGCTCTCCACTAGTCAGGAAGAGATCCATAAGGTGGACACTGTAGATGCTTAAGTCCAGATGCTTTTTATACAGTTTTTGGTATAGATCAGTGGTTGCAAACCTATGGTATATGTGCTGCAGCCAGCTGTTACCACTGAAAGCTTTAAAAGGTTCACCATCTCTGGTGTAGTTTAAAGTGACAGAATGCAGGGATGCCTCTGGTCGTAGGTAGGCCTTTGATGTCCAGAATGCAAGCTGCTTCATTTGCATTTCACTTCCTTCAAGGCTTCTCCCATTTGTTTAGGGACCTGTTCTTTGTCCCTTGCATTCCTTTTGGCTCTGATAGTTTGCTCAAGTTAATTATTCAGGTCCTCTGGTATGTTACCTTAAGCCCTGACTTTTAGTTTACTTTAGGTTAACTATTCAGGACCTGTGCCCTAACTTCTTCCCCTATCTCCTACTTCACTGACATATATGTGTCAATAGGGATGAAACTGGAGGACATTTGAATAAATGAAATAAGCCAGTAACAAAGAGTCAAATACTGTACTTACATGAGGTACCTAGAATAGCCACATTCATAGAGATAGCATAGAATGGTGTTTGCTTGGGGGTTGTAGGAAGTTGTCTGGTGATTGGAAAGTTTCTTTAATGCTGGATAGGGAAATTCTACGGATCTGTCATACAATAAGGTATATGTGTTTGACAATATTGTACTGTACTTGGAAATTGTCAAGAAGATAAATTTTTATGTTGTATTTCTTTGCTAAAATAAAAAGTTGCTTTAAGGAGTGTACCATATCAATCATTCTTTTTAATGGATCCACAGAATTTCATTGTATAGGTGGGCTATAATTTATGCACCCAGTCCCTGATTGAGGAATATTCAATTTGTTTACAATCCCTTTCAAAGCAGTAAGAAAACGATTGCATATTTGCTAAAATTACTTTTAGTTGCTATACTACTTTCTTTTTTAGACATAACACAGTTTGGAGATGGGCCCTCTGTCCCCCACATTCACTAGGGTGCATTTTATCTTTGAAGCTCTGTTCATTCTGCCTGCATACCTTGAAAGTCACCTTGCTCTCTACTTATCCTGACCATTCTCTTTGTTCAGGAGCCAGTTCAACACTGAAGTCCAAGTGTGTTTCTCAGACAACATGCACCCGGTAACATTTTCTGCCATCATTCATCTGGGGAGTTGACCTAAGCTTAGACTTCTGGGATTGTGTTCTCATGGTGCACAGTAGAAAGACCATGCTGATTTTAAACTATTAAAATACTTCCATACCCACTGATAAGCCTAGCTTATCTGGGACCCTGGGGAGAGCTCCTTTATCCATCTAGCTCCCTTCCTTAGAAGTCCTCCTCCCCATAGCTTCCTGATAAAGCAAGTAAAAGGCCAACACTCGATGTTGTAGGGAACATCCAGGGTTTGGCTCTACCACAGGGCCAACTTTGAGGTAGGCATGATCCCCACCCCATAGTAGACTTAAGTAAATTTTTTGAATATGGGATTAATTGCATGTCTTGGCTCTTTAGAAGTAAGCATTTTAGGGATGGGGACTTATCTTTTTATTATTTTGGTGTTCCCCAAAAGTCACTATCATGTGAAACATCTCATAAACAGTACTCTGTAATACTTATCTCACAATCTGCAGGACCCAGGGCACGAGCCTCCACAAGCACATGTGTTCGACTGGCAAAGAAATCTGCTCCCATCCCAGAAGGTTTAAGTGGCCCAAGAATCTTTCTGGACCACCTCCTTGGAGTCTCCCGCCCTCTCAAGGTCTCTGCTGTGGTGCCACCAAAGCGCTCCAGGATCCATAACTGGACCTTTCTCCCTGAAATCCAGACAAATGCCCTCTAGTGCCTGCTGGGCATTTCCGAAAGGATGCCCATCTTCCGTGGGCATAGGCCTGACCTTTGGCGAAGTGCAGTGCTATGAATGAAAGATGAAAATCGAAACCAAATCAATTCCGCCTACACTGTTTCACCTTCTCATTCTGAAATGCTTATTTTTAAGATCCATATATCAGTAGAGATGCTCCCTTGCGCACCACTTCCGGTCCTCAGCCCTTCTCAACTAAAAGGAGGGATTTATGAATGCTGGCTTATGAAGAGGTCAAGACTCAAGCACTCTTCAGACTCTAGCCTTGTCTTGAAGCCAGTCCTGGAATGACTCAAATCTTAGTCTCCATTCTCACTCTGGCCTGGCCTCCACCCAGATTTCCTCCACTGCCCATCTTACAGCTCAGATGGTTTTAGTTTACATCCAGCTCCAACCTTCCACTAGCATTCTGGCTCTGCCCCAACCGCATCCAATTTTCATCCTACTCCGGAACTCGGTCCCGGGTCTTCGCCCCGCCCCTTGGGCCTCCCTAAGCCTCGCCCCGCCCCGTCCGGCCCCGCCTCCGCTCCATGGCTCCTCCCCTCCCCCACCCCAGTTTCTGCAGGCAAGGGGCCACCAGCCCTCCCTCACCTTGGAGAATAGCGCTGCTAGGTGCTCCAGAGGCGCGGCAGGCAGGTCCCCGCAGAGCACTGACCCGCGGAGGGTGCTGGGGCCTGGAGGCTCGTTCCTGGTGCGCAGGAAAAAAAGGCCCTTTGCGCGAACTGGGCCGGACTTGGGACCCTCGTCCATCCCCAGTCGCATAGCCAGGCCCCCGGGTCCAGGCCGCACCACCAGCAACGGCCGCGGCCCCTCTGCAACATCGCGGCCCAGGAAGGCCTGGAGCAGATTCTCAGCCTCGGCTGTCCCGGTGCAGCGCTCCCAAGCCCCCGCCGCCGGCTGCAGGCTCTGAGCCACGTAGACCCCCAGGAGACGCAGTCTCGGGTCAGCGCCGGGTTCCTCGCCCGCATTCTCAGCTGCGAGCAGGGGCAGATCCTCCGCGCTCGTCATCGCGCGGCCTCTGGCAGCGTTGGTTTCCCTAGCGACGGGGACGCGGCCAAGACTTCCCTCCTCTCCTTCCTTCCTATTGGGCCAAGGACTCCTGCCCCCTCCCCTTCCAGGCAAATAAGGTAGGCAGGGGACAGCGGGAAGGGGCGGGGTCGCGTCAGTGTTGCTAGGAAACCAGCGGAGGCGCCAGTTTAGTGGCTAGTCTGGTGGATTGGAGTTGCTCCAGGGGCTGGGTTCAGTAATAGTTTATTTATTAGTGGGGTGCGTGGAGGACAGAGGAGGTCAAGCATATAGATCCTGTTAAGGATCCTTTTGGCCAAGATCAGATTACATTCTTCAGAGGTCTCCAGACACTGTACATTGTATAGTCCTCTCACATCTATTCTAGATGTTTAATTTACAAACTTAAACACTATGCCAAATCATGAAATAGATGTACGGAAGTACAATGAAGTTTTAAAATTTCTTTCCCACGATGACAACTTAAAATTCTTCAGAAAAGTACCGTCCAATAGAATTACTGCCCATGACGAAATTCTTCTAGATATGAGCTAGTCGCAGGTGGGCATTAAGGGCATAAATGTGCTGATGCTGCTGGGGCACATGTAGCCAGTAGTTGTACTGAACAGCTCGGCTTCATGACTTTGTCAATTATCAAAACGCTTTTTTTCCCCAGTGCTTTGCTTTTGCCCATGTCTTAGGCATGTGCTTCATGTGCCAAAATTGTAATCATGCTCTGAGATTCCTTTGATTCCCATGGCATCCTCCCCATCAGTTCTTCTAAACTTCAGCAAAGCTCTTGAAAGCATCCTCATCCTGTCCTCTATCTAGATTTGCCTTAAAAAGGGCATAATATGAATAAACCTTGCCTGACCTCAGAAATTAGCATTTGACATCAGCTAAGTCTTTCTCCATGATCAGGATAGATAATTCGACCCTTTGCACGCATAGAAGGTGAAGATGTACGGATACCAAGGAAATGGACAACTTAACATGAGGCCTAAAAGTCTGCAGGGAGTTCCCCTATACCCCTCCACTCTGACTTTAGTCACTTCCAAGGAACTGCAGTTTCTGGGCAAGATGAAAGTTTATAATAGGCTTCAAAGGAATAAATAGTAAGAGAAGTGCAACTATCAAAGGCAGCTTGGCTAACAACAGCTCCTCAGGAAAACACCAGTGGCTGAAAGGTAAAAGGATTGATTTCATCATAACTGGGGCACAAGAGGTAACGTGATGAAAAATGTTCACATTAGCAAATGGATCTCTATGTTTGTAAAGAGTTTTATTATTTCCAGATTAAACAATAAGCAGACTCATTATGAGTGAAGGGAAAAGTGGGGCACTAAAAGGACTTTTATGATCAATTTGATAATTGACATTTCAAAAAGAGCATCAGGGAAAAATAGAAATGTCAGAGGTTTCTTACGTGTATCATAATTTTATGTAGTTTCCTATTTTTATGCACATAGGACGGCATTATTATCATTTTGAGGCCTAGGGCTCCAAGGGTATCAATCTTGCTCATGTTTTGCATACAGAGTGACTCTGGGGACATTTGCTTGGAAACCTTCAAATAAAACTTGCGCCACCCTCACCATGGCCTTATTTGCTCTTTGTCTCCTTTATTCTTTTGCTCCGATGGACATGAAAATAGAAACAAAGGAGCCCATGAGGGTAAAGGCTCCTGAATACCACAATCCCAGTTATTGCTTTTGTTTTTCTCTATAAGACAGTTTCTTTCCATTTTAGAAGCTGGATTGGGGGGCATCGCTATAGCCTTTATGGAAAACAATTGACATTTTCTTTAAAATATGTAATTTTGTAAGAAAAATAGTGTATTAGTTATCTATGGCAAACTACCCCAAATTAGCAGCTTAATAAACCAATAAACACTTATTATCCCATAGTTTATCTTGGGTCATGAACTTGAGAGCAGTTTAGCTGAGTGGTTATAGTTCACAATCTCTCATGATGCTCCAGGCAAGATGTCATTGGGGGCTGTATCATTTAAGGCTCGCAGCAGCTGTTTGCAAGATGGTCCACTCACGTGACTAGAGGGTCAGTGCTGGCAGTTGGCAGAGGAGGCTTTGCTTTCTCAGCAGTGGAGCTCTCCATTAGGTGCATGAGTTGCCTCTTAACACTGCAGTTGGCTTCTTCCAGACCAAGTGGTCTAAAAAAGAAAAAGACAGAAATCATTCTCTCTTTTATGACTTAGCCCTGACACACACTACCATTTCTATAAATGTGAGAAGGAATACACAATGATGGAAATGGCAGGGGGAAAGAATCATTGGGCACCATCTTGGAGGCTGGCTACTACAAAAGGTATTGGGAAAGGTATTGAATTAGTGTTAGATGTTCAGATTTTCACTTTTAAGATGAAAAACTTGAACTTGCTTCCATAATCATGTTATAATCAGATTTTTTGCTTAAAATAGTTATGCACAATTCCTTTTCAAGACTTTCAATGATGATCTTAAATTCTTGATGGTCACCAATGGCAAGAAGTTTGCTTACACATACAAGTAAAATAAAATTTAAACCCTTTTACAATTATTGAAAAAAATTACCATTGATGTTATATATACAGAATCTAATAGCTCTTTTCTTCTTTGATAAATGATATATTGCAATTTCTTGATATGCTGCCAAAGGATATTGAGTCTAAGTCAACCTTCCACAAAAATTTTTGAAAATAAGGATGGGAATACTAATTTAAGGAACATGTGTGCACTATGAGAATAAGTCTCCTGGCAGCCATCTTGGATGCTACTAAATGAGCATATTGGATGCAAACCAGGACATGTACAGGATACAATGTGGCAGGAGAGCTCAGGCTACTTGTAAGGAGGAGTACATAAGAATGTTAAGAGCTGTATTGTTCATAATGGTAAAATAATGAGAAGCAAACCAAGTGATTCCAACAGTGGAATGGACAAATTATGTTTTATATTATTCATGTAATAAAATAGCATACAGCAGTGCAAATGCGTGGATGATAGCCATATACATCAACATGGTTGAATCATCAAACCTGAATATTAAACCAAAAATGCAAGTTGCAGAATGCATTCAGGGTTCTATTTATTGGAAATTTTAAACAAATTAAACAAAGGAAATTTTGTTAAAGGAACAAATATATGTAAAACACTTTTTAAAAGTAAAGGAATGATTATCATATTTTTTTTTGAGAAGCAGTATCACCATGCTGCCCAGGACTGGAACTTGGGATCCTCCAGGTTCAACCTACCAAGTTGCTGGGATTACAGGTGGGGAAAATGCACTTGGCATGAGACTCAGATTTTGACCACTTCTCAGGAGACCAAAGAAGTGTGAATCAATAGGGGCACATGGATCTTTTAAGTTCCTACTGATGTTTTATTTCTTAACCTGGCTTATGGGTTTTCATTTTTATCATTCTTCTTAAACTGTACACATATATTATGTACTCATTTGTGTACATATGATATCAGTCCAAATTAAAAAAATTAAAAGGAAATATGTCATTCTGTGGGCTCCAAATATTGTGGTGAAATTCATTCTGGTTATGGAAAATAAATGGATTATTATTCATTTTAATGCTCAGAATTCATTATATTTGTGAGATTACAACAAACACTTTTATAATTAAATTTTATAGTGAAGTATATTACTAGTGACTTCTTTATCATCAAATCCTGGAGGTATGTTCAGTCTTTATCTTATTTCATTCCATGGCTCTGTTCAACCCAGTTGACTCCAGATAGTGTAGAAATATTTTATTCTTTTGACTTTATGAAAAACAGTCCCTCAGTTTTTCTCCCTCTGGTGTGGTCACTTCCTCTTGTTCTCTTTGACTACTTTCTCTCTGTCCTTTCAATATTAGTGTTGTTTAGGCATCTACTTCTTATCCTCTAGTCTTCTCACTTTGAATTCTCTCCTTGAGGAATTTATTCACTCAACACCATTCTTCCTTTTCTGCTAGTGGTTCCCACATCCTTATGTTCAGTCCAGACTGGGTAGATGCAAACTTTTAAGGTTACACCTGTTTTCCCCTCAAGCCTCTATAGAGATTTTTCCACTGCTTTCTGGAACATAGTGTGGAAGAGAAGTCTGAAGCTAGCTTGATCTTTGTACCTTGTAGGTAACCATTTGAACACATAAGGATTTTTCCCTCTCCCTGTTTTATTTTTGTAATTTAAAAAAATATGTAGGAGAGAACTAAAGTCACATTGAATCCATTTCTTCCTGAAATTAAAAGAGCTCACTCTGTTCTCATAACGAAACATTTCTTCACAGCAGGAAAAATTATTTTATGGAATCTTGAATTGCTGCTTATTTTCTGTTTGGACTCTCTGGTCTGGTTTTCTGGTGATATAAATTGACAGAATGAGTTAACTGTTATTAGTGGGGAATACATTTTGAGACATTAACTGAAGTTTTTCATTCCTATATGTTTTGATGTTATCCTATGGTTCTCCACACAGTGAGTTAACAATGTTTAATGACTCAGGGGAGTGTGGATACAACCTAAAACTGTGACTCTGAATAGTTTTTAAACACACAAAGAGATGATAGCTGCATGTTATTTATTTACATATATTGTAATGACCAAGCACTTAGAGGGAGAAAGATTCTATGTTGTACTCCTTTGTTTTAATTCTAAGAACTTGGGTTTGAATATATTGAGGAGTGAGTGTCTAGAATGTATTTGCTAAACCATTGATGGATCAGAATGCATGCTGCTATGATGAGCAGGTTTCCTTACAGAGAAGAGTGGAATGGGTAGGAAGGATGGAGAAATAAAGCTGAGGAGTGAGAAAGATCTTGGGTATGGCTGCAGAATTCTTGATCCTTTGAGGTATGTCCAAGTAAGAGGGTGAAATGGCAGTGACTGCAGAAATACGTGAGTATTCCAGACAAGGGGACCCTCGAACTGTGCTTTCCAGTGGAGTCTCAGAAAACTGCAACCACATGAAGAAGCCATACACAGTTTACAGTTTGGTCCCTGATGTTGAGGTAGCAGTGGGAGAAGAACTTTCAGAAAGCAGTCTTTTGATGTTCACATACCTTCAGGGATGGAAGCTGACACACTGTTTTATGAAAGTTTCTGTTTCCAATTCTAGAAGGATGATGAAGGTAT